AGGCGCGTGGCCAGAGCCGGTGGAACGGCAGTCGCCACGCACGTATCCTGGGCCTCCTCCCTGCTCTGGGAACGCCGAGGTGGTGGAGGGTGACAGGTGCGTGCTGGCAAAGAGCGAGCCGTGCCAGCCAGCGGCCGAGGGCCCGCAGGCCGCGGCCCGGGTGCGCTTGGTGCCTTCTCGGGTGCCTCCGTTGGTCTGCAGCCTCTTGGCCAGCTAGGGTAGGTCGATGTACGGGCGTTGGAGAGACGCCTTGTGAGCCCAAATAACAGAGGTTTGCTTGGAGAGAGGAGTTGCGGGAATCTGGAATAAAGGATGTATGGGAGAAGGTGATTGTTAATCCCTAAAGGGATTTGCCTGGGTGACGCGGAGAGCGCTGCTCCGTGAACGTCACCTACCTGCTGGTGTTTCACAGCTGAGGCAGTAAGACCTTGGCAATAGCCTTTCAAAAGCTGCTGGTAAATCCGAAAGTATCGGTTTAGCTGTCAGATCTTTGACCCGTCGTTGCCGGGAAGGACCAGCTTGTAGACCCAGACCAGTTACCTCCAGATTGAATTCGGTGGCTTGACCGAAGAAGCTGGTCACTGTGACCGAGTGCTATGGCTGCTGCACGTCAATTTTTTCAATAATCTTTCCCAAGAAATGAAGACACAGACTGTGAGGTGAGTCAGCTGGCCGGTTTCCAGCGTGGAAAGATGTTTCACGTTCCTCTAGCTGGAAGGGAAGCTGTGTTTGAGTTGTGTTACAAAAGCAGACACCCCAGCCAGCGGGTACCACCCACCGTCCTCCTGCTTGGTTTTACACGTGCTCGTGCAGCTTGTACGCAAGTGACTGCAATCCTTCCTTCCTGCCAGGAAACCATATCTGCAGATCTCTCTCTGGATCTGTGAAATCTCTGAGATCTGGGATTTCAGTGTCAGTAATCATGATTGGGTTTTTTTTTCCCCACGATGACAAACTTTCAGAGATGTCTCGTATCCTTCCTGTTTGAACGCGGCCACGGCTTCTTCACCTCACGTGGGGGTACAGGTCCAGCTGGAGTGGTGGGGCCCTGCAGTTCTGGTCCTTTTAGGAAGTGTCAGTTATAACTTTGATTCATGGGTATGTGGCTTGGACCTCTCTCAAACATGTCCCAGAAATAGGTCGTAGGTTGTGGACCTTTAGGATTTCTTACTGTTGACTATAGGTTCATCCGTTATGTTTTACGTAACAGCAGTCCCGAGATCGCAGCCTGCAGAAGACATTTGTTCTCAGACAGAGCACAGGAGAAAGCAGATGTTCTTTAGGCTGATGTTTAAGGCAGGAAGAGAGATGAGGTTTGAACAAGTTTAGGCTTGCGGTTCGTCGGAAGAAAAACACTAGGCCAGCGGTTTTTCCTAAAGTGTTTTTCTTCCTCTCTGAGACTCCACCCTCAGTTCTAGTAAGCATTTCACCACTCATCTCTGCCAGTGACATCGACGCTACAGACATTTGTATAATACACTGTCGCTGAAGTAAGTGGCTGATTTTGGTTGTTTTCTGCACTAAATTCACAAGGGAATAGAATTTCCTTGCAGTTTTCAGTTTCAGCTCCCCATTCTTTCAGACCGTGCTGCGAAGACTGATTTAGGTCTCATCACACATACATCAGCCAGCCAGGTGAATAAAAAGGGCTCCACCTAAGTAAAATTGCCTTTTACCTCTAGCTTTAATATTATCATTTCTTGTGCAGTATTACTTTCTCTGAAGCCGTGTTCAATTCATTGTAAGACCAGAGCTCTGCCTTTGCTTGGCTTGTGTTACAGAACAGTATGGTGCTTTCTGCTGCTATCTTCGTCACGCTGATTGGGCTAATCATATACCTGCACTTCGTGAAAATCGACCAGGAATCCCTGCTGGTCATCGGCTCCCCCCCCTAAAGAGAGCACAACCTTCATTGAGATGGGTCAGGTGAAGGATGTCGTCATCAATGAAGCCATCCACATGGTAATCATACACAGTCTTCCTTCTTGTGTGTCTGTGGGCACGCTCACATCCAGTGTATTTTCAGGAGCGTGATTTACCAGAGCAATTTGACATGGCATCATCCGTAGCTTTACTGACACTGGGAGCTTCGTTTCAGATTTCCCTCTCTACTCTCTTATCTGTTCTCTCACCTTTAATGGAGACTCAAGCCAAACAAATTACCTCAAAAAGCCCTGAGATAATGCCACTGATACTGAGCTAATGTTTTTAGTCCCTTGTGGTGTGTGGTGCTTACATACCCTGATGTCAAGCACCATAAGTAGTCAAGACGGAGATAAGAAGGTAGACAACAGAAGAGATGACTTTTCCTGTTGCTGGGGAAAGCTATAAACTTGTAGACCTGGCCTGGGTTGCCTGGCCTTCAACCCAATGTGTTGAAATTTCTCTTTCTGTGATAACTCCAGGCACTTTTGATAGCATTTTCAAACTGATGATTTCATCTGTTTGTCTTGTAGCAAAAAGTTATCTACTACCTATGCATCCTCCTCCAGGACCCTGGAGATCCTCAAGGAGTATCTGAGGTTGTGCCACTCTTTCAGGTGAGTTTGACTGAATGGTGGAGGACCTGGATCTGTGGGCTGTCGGTGTGTGCCAGGTGGCTGAGGGCATCTTCATTCCACTACAGGTGGCCGATTACAGCTGCCTTTCCCTGACTGGAAACAGGGAGCTCTGTAAATCTGATCCCAACCAGGAGTCTGCATGAACTGGAAGCCTTTGGCTCACGTAGGGTACTGAGGACTCGTGCAGCTTTCTGTGTAGTCTTACGCTCAGCGCTACCATCATAACTACGGCACTGTGCTGCAGTTGATTTTTCTTTCAGTGCCGTGTGCCAGAAGGGCTCATAAAACCCTCCTTGGCATTAGAATGACTTCTTTCTCACCGATTGACAAAGATCACAGTACAAGCTGTGAGCAATTTGCTTAATGTATAATAACTTGTTTGCTTTACCATTACCCTGTGTCCCCTTTCTCTTCTCTCGCTAACTTGTTCGGAGTGCTCATAATCTCATTTTTGGGATGGATTTTCTTGTGTACATGCCTAACACAACAATGCCCTGATCCTTGAGTGGGGGTAAGCAGTACAGAGGTACCTCACCTCTTAGACTGCTGAGGTTTGTGGGCCCTCTCTGTCCTTCCTAATTCAAGTGCTGCTGCTGACTGTCATTTTGTAGTCCCCATCCAGTTTATGAACTGGATGCAGTTAGTCTTCAGCTGAATGCTTATGGGTATAATACATGCCTAACACAACAATGCCCTGATCCTTGAGTGGGGGTAAGCAGTACAGAGGTACCTCACCTCTTAGACTGCTGAGGTTTGTGGGCCCTCTCTGTCCTTCCTAATTCAAGTGCTGCTGCTGACTGTCATTTTGTAGTCCCCATCCAGTTTATGAACTGGATGCAGTTAGTCTTCAGCTGAATGCTTATGGGTATAAATAGGCTATTCATAGAATCACAGAATGGTTTGGGTTGGAAGGGACCTCAAAGACCATCTAGTTCCAACCCCCCTGCCATGGGCAGGGACACCTTCCACTAGACCAGGTTGCTCAAAGCCTCATCCAGCCTGGCCTTGAAGATATGCAGGGATGGGGCATCCACAGCTTCTCTGGACAACATGTTCTACTGCCTCACCACCCTCTCTGTGAAGAATTTCTTCCTGATGTCCAATCTAAACCTCCCCACTTTCAATTTAAACCTGTTACCCCTTGTCCTGTCACTACAAGCCCTTGTAAAACATCCCCTCCCAGCTTCCTTGTAGGCCCCTTCAGGTACTGGAAGGTGCTACAAGGTCTCCCCGGAGCCTCCTTTTCTCCAGGTTGAACATCCACTGTAACTTGCTGCTAACTCAGTCCCACAATTGTAAAGACGTTTACTGACAATAATGTAAATTAAGTTTTTCACACATAGTCAAGGGAAAAAATGGATCTGCTGGACAACTACTAAATTCCCAAGAGCCTGCAATCAGGAACCTGCTTTTAGTTATACATGCTCCTTTCCAGCTTCAAAGAGGCTCCCTGGAATTTGTGTAGTTTCTCTCTTCCCCGCCCCCCACCCCCCCAGCTCCACTCTGAACAGTTTTATTTTCATGGAAATATCTCAGTATCGGTAGAGTTGACTCTACCAGCAGAGGAGGTCCAGAAAGAGCTGTGTCAGTTTGCAATTCATTACCTGTCAGTAATTCTCACTTTTAATGTGCAAGTTAGTATGTTACTTAGTTTTGAAGGAGCAGTAATTAGTAACTTTATTGCGTCTCCTTCATCGGGTTCCTCTAAGTTATGTCAGCCTTCAAAACTACCATTTACCGTGTCACTGAGCCCAAGAGCACTTCTGCGCTGAATTGACCTATTGTTCTCTTAAGCAACACTTGCAAGGAGAGGCCTTTGATGGACTTTACACAGTAATGCTGTTTTGGGAGCTCAAAAGTCATGGGACCATGGGGACTGTAGGACTGGGAAACTTTCACCTCCTTGCTGGTTTTAATCTGGTCCAGGTTAGAAGTGATGGAAAACCATTATACTTTGACCACCATTCGCTGTTTGTGTGAAATGAATTGATGTTTTCAGTTAACCTGTTGTCCTGACTGTACCAGCAGAGGCCAAGGGCCAGGTGTCTAAACGTCCTGTCCCGAGGGCAGAATTTTCCTGGTGGAGGTCTTCCAGGATGGTGGAGTAGCACATGGAAATCTACCCTTTGGAAGGTCTCTACAGGGAGTATGGTCTAATACCTAGGTTAATGGTCCGGGAGGTGTGGATGCTCTCCCATGCTGTCACCATGACCTGTGAGCTGAGAGAGGGGAGGATTTCTGATTTGGTGAGAGATTCAGGCTGACTGTAGAGTGGTGCTGCCTGACAGCTTTAGGCACCCGTGTTTTTCATCACAGAGCAGACAGGGCATATGGAATGGCTTTGCATTCCTATGGCACCAGCTTACATCAAAGACCTCCCGGAGTTTGATGGATTGTTTCTTAGCTAACGTGTAAAAGGGAAATCTACTCTCCATTGACCTAATGTCAGAAAGCTCATCAACTACAGATACTTCACTGTTGCATTCCTTACACATGCATGCTTTTGATAGGCAGCTTTGTGTCAGCTCTCTCCACATTTCCTTGCTCTGCCTGACAATCCCTCGAGTGGGAAGCACCAGCTCCTTTACAGCCAGTTCGGAGCCTGACTCTCCATTGTTTGACTTAAATCCTAGAGCTCCAAGCCACGCCTGGACTGCTTGATAGAAGTGTACAAAAGCTGTCAAGAAATCCTGGAGCAGAGGAAGACAGCTCCACAATCAAGCGGGATAAAATAGTAAAAAAGAAGAATCAAGGAGCAAACTTGCAGCGGGACTTGGAGAGACACACGGAAAGGCAAGCAAAACTGCCCCATGGCTTGTGTTTTAATTAGAGGAGTAGCAAGTGGTGCAGCAGTGCAGTGGTGTCAGGGCTAAAGGCCTGCACAGACTCACAGAATTGTTACAGAAAATGTCAGCTCAAGGGCAGAAGTGAACCGTGAAATCCTCTGCTATGAAGACAGGTGAGCAGAACTTTTATCAGACAGAATAGGTTTTTCCTTACCTCTCCAGAAAAGAATTACGGGGAAATAGGGCAAAGGGAGGCAAGAACTGGCATCAAACATTTGCTTTTTTTGCGGATCTGAAAGTTACAGTAAACTTGTAATGTAACCTTGGCTGGATTGCTAAAAATGTGCATTTTTTTGTTGCTGTTTAACTCTCTGTTTGAAAAAAAGCATATGCCACTCTGAATACCAAAGCTGATGTGTGAGCTGGGATGGTAACTTTGTGATCCACAGGAGAATTTCAGAAATAAAATAACAGAAAATTAAAATAAACTGCTGCATTCAATTATGTTTAATGAAATAAACATAGGAGAGCAAACTTTGATCTCTTCAGGGGTCTGCTTAAAAGTGTCCCGTGGGATGGGGCCCTAGGGGGAAGAGGGTTCCAAAAAAGCTGATTGGTAGTCAAGGATCACCTCCTCTAAGCTCAAAAATGGCCCATCCCAGTGAGCAGGAAGCCAAGCAAAAATGCTAGGAAGCCTCCATGGATGAACTAGTTGCTGCTGGCAGAGCTCAAACACAAAAAGGGAGGATACAGAAGGTGGAAGCAGGGATGGGTAACCTGGGAGGAATCCAGCAACACAGTCCGAGATGCGGTTAGGAAAGCTAAAGCCCACCCGGAGCTGAATCTGTTGAGGGATGTCAGAGGCAACAAGAAGGGCTTCTCTAACTATGTAAGTAGCAAAAGGAAGACAGGGGAAAGGTGGAGCCATTTGCAGATGAGGCAGGGGCATTGTGACACAGGTCATGGAAAAGATGTGTGGTGTTAAAATGGCCACATCGATTGCTCTGAGTCTTATGAGGAGAATGTGTTGTGAAGATGGTGGTAATGACTATGGGATAAAGTTTTACTGATTTGTGCTTGCTGGGTAACTTAAGGTTGGGAAGTTCTTCTTTGGTGATGGGCTAAAAGTTACCGTAACCTTTAACTGGTACATTTCACTCTTTTTTTTTTCCCCCGTGACTCCTTAGGAAGGTAACCCAGACGATTGAAATGCCAGCAAGGGCTACAGCAGCAAGTTGGCAGGAGCCTAGGGGTTGTGCTTAATTTGCGCACAGTGCTGTACCCTGCTTGTCTACATCACCTGTAATTAAGCCATGTGGCAACATACCATCATGCAGTGTGGTAGAGAGAAGGTGATTTTTTTCCATGGTGCCCTGAAGACACGGGATAGCTCGAGCCACAGGAAGTACTGTGGTTGCCCAAGTGAAAGCAGCAGCTTGGGGATGTGCCATTTTTGGGTAACACTGTCTGGGTTACTTAATTTTTTATGGTTTTATTTCTCATAAATACTTCAAATATTGGGGTTGGCCAGATTTTTTAATTCCAGTGCTGCCCTAATGTAAGTTGGTAGCTCTCATTGAAGTTGGTGAAGCTGCACGCTGATGCAGGCCGCATGCGATTGCAAGTCCAGGCAGAACTGGGAAGGGCGGGTGTTGGGGCAGCAGCAGAAATTGCCTGCTAACAACAGCAGCAGGCCCTGGGAGCGGGAGCGTGTGACAACAGCAGAGGTCTTTTGGCTAAGAACCATCTGCTATACCTGACTTGCGTAAGGCTCGGAGCGTGGTTTGGCCCCATTGTGTTTCTTCATGGGGAGGAGAAATTGTCAAGGCCCTTGAGGAGCACTGTAGCAGCAGGAAGATTTGCTGAGCCGTGGGAGAATGTGTCAGAAAATAAATGATGTCTCAGCAGAGCAGACAGGGTCTTGGGCTTAAGAGTGTGCTGGGAACATGGAGTGTGCTGTAAAAATCCCATGAAGTCCTGAGAATGTGCTCTGAAGGAATGACCAAGGAGCTGTGTCACGGGAGGAAGCCTGGAAGATTGGTTTAGCCATCTTTTGAAGGAGTGAGCATCCTGTGCCCATGGGAGTTCACTTTAGTCACACCCTAAAGCTGAGAGATCAGCAGAGAGAAACCAGGAATCAGATGAGGGCGGGTTTGCACCAGCTACGTGCCTGGATACCAAACACCATCTTTGTCCGTTTTTGTTTACATCAAAACTACTTTAGCATTCAGAATAGTTTCTTTCATTCCGAGACTAATACAGTTTAATTCATGATAACTGCATTTTATTGAGAACAAACAGAAATCTCACAGTATGTCCCAGACAGCCTTTTACTTACCCACAGCAGTAAGGAAAACAAAGGCCTTTGTCATCTCATCCTATGCTGCAGCAATGATCATTGCCAAAAGCATTGATCCAAATAATTATTTTCTCTACTGAAAACTCATACAAAATAGATATCTACACAGGGTTGCTTGGTCAAAGTCAGGTAAGCTATAAATAGGAGGTATATGTGCATCCATCAGAGTGGGGTGATCCCTCAAATACTCAAGTATCGGTGAATATTTTTAAGAAATAAGGAAGAATAAGGAACAAAAAAAGTTCTATATGCCATGCTTCACAATTTAAAGTGCAGTTACAGCAGAAAATAATGAGCTTCAAGACAGCTCTTGCTTGTTCAACATCTCTGCTTCCTGTTTGCCCTGGAACAATTCCCTAAGGGCATGAGCGTTAGCACCGTAAGGCAAGTACAGCCTGCGAACTGGAGACTTGGACGCCTTGAGCATCCCGAGCACGGATGATAGCCCAGCCTTTCCCAAAGCAGCTTTGTTACTGGTGGGATACAAGAAGCAGGTTGCCAAACAGACCATGAGATACAGGAGGAATTGTTAGGCACAGGTGATTGAGTGAGGAGGAATAATGCTCTCTGTATTCATACTGATGTAGCTCTACTAAGATCACTCTGTGTGTGTGGGAGAGAGAGGAAATACATACTACTGACCACGCTGTCATGATCTATAGTCACTTAAAAGTATCTAAGAAAAAAAAAAAACAACTACATACCTTCTCAAAATTGTTTTTGGCTCAGAAAGCTTCTACCCTTTTCTGTAACTTCAAGGGATGGTCCTTAAATTCATAACCAGTGGGTACATTACAGTACGTGCAAATTAGGTCTTGGGTCATACAATCTTTTCTTATGTTTGGCATATTGTTTCCACAAACCACCTGGGGTGTTTTGGGGTTGGTTTGTTTGTTTTTAACGTTACAAAGATGCTCGTAAGACATTTTTTAGAATGATGATCTGTCTGTCCCATTCTCTTCTCTTTTAATTTGTGGCTTTGCACCCACCATAAGTTTGAAACAAAAACTTGAAGTTATCAGCTCCACTGTGTGATTAGTTGGATGTTTCAAGGTTGGGTGGCAGGTCCTAGGGAATAAAAACACCGGTATGGTTGGTTGGTTCATTTGCGAATAGCTTTGGTTTGCTATTGCTGAATTCCTTCTAATGGTTGGATTCACACTGTTTGAATTTGGGAAAGTTGCCCATGAAAGCATAATTATTGTGAAGTTGCGCACGGTCCGTTTGAAAGTGTAGTTACGTGTCCTTAGCTTTAGAATGCTCATCGAAGCAGCTGAACTCAAGCCAGGTATGCTTGGATTTTTCTAGAAGAATTGCTATTTTTCTTTTATTTGTATAGAATTCATTAGCCTTCTCAGTCATAAGAAAGTCCCCTTGAAACAGATCAAAAAACACCCCCAAAACCCATTCTTCAGAGAAGTCAGAACAACACTTGAGTACGCATTTGCCGACTACCTCCTCCTTGCTATGGTAGCCTGAAGGAAGCAGAAGTTGGAAAGAAGCAGGTTCTGCCAAGCCAGAATGGTAGAGCTGGTGTGACAAGATCTGTTCCAGTTGGTGAAAGCCAGAAAAAGTACAAAATTTGCTTGCCTTGTCTTCCTTTGTCTGAGATTACGTGCAGTTTCAAACACATCCTGAAACATCTAGACAGTGATTAACAGAAAGAGTCTCTGAAAGTGCTTGTCCGAAGGCGGAGCAGGTGCCACATTCAGCCCTGCAGCAGAGCCCTAAAGTCCATCTTGTGCAGAACAGCGACAACCACTGAAAGGCATCAGTCCCGTAGGAGCTAGGGCAGCACCTGGCTCTGTTCCAGTCGTTCTGAGTCCTCAACATGCGAAGACAAGAGGTTTGCACCTTTATTTAAAGTTGAAAATACTCTTGAGTACCACTGAACTCTTATTCTATGCTCCCTATTGTCTGAAGTTACCCTTGTCCTGGCATCAGAATTATTCTTGTCAGTTTAGTTCTTCTTTCTTCCCAACGTCTTCTTTCTTTCACATCTGGAGCAAGGGCTTGGAAAGTTTCTGTCTTTCTGAGCACCACTGTCAGGGAGGAGTCATTATAGCTCTAGGGAAACTTAAATTGTCCTCTTGGCTGTGTTAAGCAGTTGCATAAAAACTATTATAGTCTCTGCAAAAGTACTGTCTTAATGGTTGTTCTGGAAGTGGCTACATTGAATTTAAACACTGGTAAAAAATGTAATATGGTGGCTGTTCAAAACCAGAGCATTGAGCTGAAGTTATGTTCCAAACCACCTGGTCAGACTATGTCACGTTAATCCTGACACTCTGGTAACAGCCTTTTCAGGGTGGATCTAGTTTATGATGCAGCGACACGCAGCTCCTAATACCGGCACTATTCAACAGGATGCATCCGTGTCCAGGGTTCATGCCGCACTATCCATTACCACCTGGTTTTTACTTTTAATAGGATTGTGCTCAGCCCACTGCGGTCAGATTTAAGACGATATCCCACTCAAATCTGCCCTGCAGAGGCTGCAGTCTAGTTCAGGTGAAAAGGGAGCAAGTTAGGGACTGATGCAAGCAGAAGGGTATTTGAAATAATAACTGAGGGGGGCTGTGATGAGGAA